CCCACCGGTTATTTTCTTCATCGCATCCTTGAATGGTTTCCTCTTTACATGGCACAAACCCCTTCTCCTCCTGGAGAAGAGGAGGCTCAAGGGAGACCTTATCACCCTCTACAACTTCCTGAAAGGAGGTTGTAGTCAGGTGGGGATTGGTCTCTTTTCCCAGGCAACTAGAAGTAGGACAAGAGGGCACAGACTCAAGCTCTGCCAGAGGAGGTTTAGGTTGGATATTAGAAGAGATTTTTAATTTTAATGGAGAAAGTAGTCAGGCATTGGAATGTGCTGCGCAGGGAGGTGGTGGATTCACCATCCCTGGAGGTGGAGACTGGATGTGGCACTTAGTGCCATGGTCTAGTAACGATGGTAGGGTTGGACTTGATGATCTTTGAGGTCTCTTCCAACCTGGCTGATTCTACGATTCTTTTCACCCTTCCCTGGCATAAACATGTTTTCAGGCCTTTTGATATATTTTTTTGACCTTCCATTTTACTCCTTGATGGTTATGTCTGTTCTTTTTCATCCCTCCCCTTGCAGCCAGTCCAGTAAAATGAGTTTCCAGGCTTGGCTCCCCCTGCCGTTGCCAAAGCAACTGGTGGTGTTCGGACTGGGAGACTGGAGCTGCTACTCCCCAGACACGAGCATCGCAGTGGACATGCTGGTGTCCCCTGGCATTGCACCACAGCGGGTCGGCACGTTGGAGCCCACCCGAAGGTAGGGCAGGAGTTGGTGCTGCTGGGGTGTCAGGGGGGCATCCTGGAAAAGCTTTCTGATCTTTGGTGCTGCTTGTCCCAGAGCTGCTCAGGCCTGATGGTCCTCCACCATGGTCTTTCTAGTGAGGCTTTCAGCTTCCTTTTGGCTACTTTCACGGCTGGGTCTCTTTGGGCTTTGGGCTGTTACCAGCTAGTGTGAGAGCAGGAATTTTGCCCTGGTTGGTGTCACTTGTGGGCTGAGAACCCACGGTTCTTTGTACAGGTCTCTGGTGTGGGAAGATGACTGGAGAACGGATGTTTTCATGGCCTCATTGAAAGAAATGGGCAAAGGCAACCCTGTGAGGCTTGTCCTGACGGTCAATGGGCAGGTAAAACCATTGACATCCTCCTCTCCTCCTGCCTGGAGTCCCAAATGTTGTTACTTCTGAGCTACAGAACTTCTTCTCCCATCCTCTCCTTTTCCTTATCTTTGCTACTCCAAGGTAGAGCTGACAAATGTGGATCTGTTAACACACGTCTGTGCTGAGCCCAAATTCTCTGTGATGGTCCAGACCTATCCTCTAAACAGAGCCTTGCCTGAACACCTCGTGTGTTGCAGGAGATGGACATCGGAGAGCAGTTCACTTCCACTCTCTCCTGAGTATTTGGTACATATAGTTGTTTTACCTTGTGCTGAAGCCCTTGGATTTAGCATCTTGCAGTGCCTGGCTTTCCTTTTCCTTATTTATTCTGTTGGTGTGGGTGATGAAAAGCAGGCTATTCCATTGCAAGGTATCTGTCCCTTGCAAGACACATTTTTGCTTACCCTTTATGGGTGGAGGCCAGCACACTTGGTATATCCTTTTATTCTGTCACTGTTTCTGCCATAGCTGCTTCGAGGTGTCTCCAGCAGTACACCTGCCCATCCCTTCCTTGTCCCAGAGACCACCCAGTCACCAGTGCTCCCAGCAACTGATAGGCACCTGGGCCAGGACCTGGAGGGTTCTACTGTGGTATGTGTATCCTGGAGCCTTCCTCTTGTTATTTTGCCCTCTCCTTAGTATCTTTTCCCCAACAGTCATTCAGTTGCTGTCTAGAAGGAACATATGCTGCCTCTGTTTTAGTGAAGAACTGTCTAAGCAAGTTTTGAAGTGATTGATCACCCTGTTTACTCCTGGCACAGACAGCCTTTTGCCCTTCCAGTTGCCTTGTTCTTGGTGTGCCCAGTAGGCAGCAGTCTGAAAGTGGACCACTGGGCATGCAGCAGCAGATAGCTGCATTGCTCAGCATCTGTTTGTCAGCTGGCACTGTTGGCATGCTGGCCCTTAAGACTTGGTGGGAACACAAACCTGAAAATAGTCACCACATGAAAGTAAATTCCTGGTCCAGTAAGAGGCAACTCACAGTAGCCTCAGGTGTTTTTCTTCAGGGCTGATTTGACTGGGACTCTTGTTACAGGTTAAGAGCTCAGATGTGGCTACCAGAGCATTCAGGCCTGGGAGGAAGGACATCCACTCACCACTGAGGACCCTAGTGGTACCCTGTGCCCTGAAGCCACCATCTGGCAAGGTGGAATCCAGTGAGGTCTGGAGGAAGAGTCCTGTCCAAGGACCACTAAGAGTCCATTCCAAGAAGCCCAGGAAGGTTTTATTTGAACCCACAGCATCCGAGAGGGATCTCGATGAAGAAGGTAACTTGATAGTGTCCAGTTTTATTTTACCACTCTTGTCTGAATTATCTGTCAATGCTACTGGGCTGCAACTGCCCAGTCCATTTCTCTATGTACTCCAAGGCTTGTCTGTCTTGGCTTGCAAATACTGAGAACACTCTTTATTCCTGGATCAACTACTTGATGCATTATTGCCTGTTGGGAAAAGGCTAGAAATAGAACATGGGATATTCTTAGTGCCAACACTTTGTACCATGACATAATCTGCTCATCTTTTCCTACAAGTAAAAGGATTTTATAAATGAAGGTAAATGGCTAGCCTTGTTTCACAAAAGAGTAAATTGAGGCACAAGAAAGTTATCTACTGTGATGTTCTGTAATCTCTCCATTAATCTCTTTGTTCCCTGCTAACAGCATCCATAGAAGACATTAGTTATTATTACAGTATAGAGAATATGAAAAGGAATATATATATACAATTAGTATAAATGTACTGACTTTTCACTAGTGAGAAAGTAACTGCCAAGGGATTTGGAAACAAAACCTTAGGCTTCTGGAATGTGAATTCCAAGTCAGCTCCAGGGTGTGACCCAGTTTATGTGTACAAGTTTGACAGTAACTCAGTGGCCCCCATGTGAAGTGGGGCTTGGCTTGCATCTCACAAAGGCAAATATAGCTCCATCATAAAGTTGCTTCCACTGAAGACAATGTGAGAAGGGGAGAAAAGAGTTTCCATCTGAGGGATTAAATGCAATGGTGACAGTATAATGGCAGTCAAAGGAAGTATGCCCTACTCTTACCTGTCTTCTGCCTTTCTTCCAATGAGACTTTCTTTGTGATTCTTGGTCTCGCACCTTGTTTGCTGCAGTGAGGTAGCTTTGTGCTAGGGGTTGGAGAAAGGAAGGTTAAAGGGCTCTAAAACCATGGAGCCGAGCATTTTCTATGGTACATCTGCTGGCTGCTTTCTTTATGGGGCCATCTCTGTGTTCCTTCTGCAGATCTGGCGGTGAAGGAGTTGCAAGGTGAGGATTTGGTTCCTAGACCCTGATTTGTCATCACTTGGTGATGCTATTCCTTCCCTTTAATGTCAAAGGCCTCTCATGCTTCATCCTGTATCCCTGGTGATCAAGAATAACAAGTAGGTTGTGTATGTATACTGTCCCTCTTCATGCAATTGCTGTCAGCTGGAAGCATCTGCTTCCAGTACTGTTGGTCTCTCCAGTATGCTTCTGTAGCCCCTCTGAATCTCAGGCACACCTCTGGGTGCATAGACCTTTGGTAAGATGTGAAAAAGGCTTTGATTAAAAAGTATTTTTTTAGCTAGCTCAGCAGGGGCCTAGGAGAGGAAAGAAGGAGAAAGAGAGCAGCATGAGGAATATCTCCTGAAGCAGCTCCAGGCTTCTGATTGTTCTGTCTTAGGCACTAACGAGCTGTCCCAGTGTAGCCCTCCCTCACAAGGAGTAACATGGGGATAGCACAACTGGGATATCACTTCTGGGGTTGGGTAATCAGTGGAGGTCATCCAAGCCTGCCTGAAGTGGCAGCCTGTATGCATCCTACATCCAGCTACTCTTTGCTTGGGACATCTCTCCTAGTACTGCAATTGTTCCCCTGAGCCAACCGAAAATGTTCTTTGTGGAGCTTTGTCTTTTGCCACCATAGAAGAAAGCGACCAGGGGCCCTTGCCTTCCAATTTCTCCCTGCTGAGCATTTAGCTGTCTTGTTCTCCCCAGCAGGGCAGGGAGCTGAGGGTGTCCCATCTGACTCTGCTCACAGCCTTGTGCTCTCCCCTCCTCAGGCAGTCCCAGCCCTCGGTGGTGCCATGCCATGTGCCTCAGTGACCTGGGGACAGCTGTTCTGATCGGAGGAGAAGGTGTTGACCAGCAGTCCTGCAAGGATGTGTTTTGGAAGCTGGAAACTGGTGGGGACTTTAGAGCTGTCAAAGGCAATGGGGGCAGTGGGACTCGAGAACAACTCATGCAGATAGGAGAGGGTACTTGGGGGCCTGTGCATATGGAGGGGATGGCAAAAGTGTCTCATCTCCTAGCAAGGTCACCAGGCTGAGCTAACAGCATAGAGTGCCATGTGAGGCTCTCAGATTGTATGTGAGAGCTCTCTAGGAGCTAAGTTATAAGTTCTGAAAAAGTGTTGGGGGAATTCTAAGGGGTAAAAGCAACAGTGCAGTTTGCAGTCTGTGTGTGATGACTGGTGAAGTGTGAGATAAAATTCCAGGGCCTTGCATCTTTCTGCACCTCACTGATCCTCTCTTTCACCTTGCTATTCCCCTTCATTACTTACACAGAAACAATTCTGTATGAATCCCCAATAGCCCTGAATCAAAGGAGAGGAGGAGATGAAGGGAGTAAGGTTTTTAGTGAAGATTTTATGACATATTCTTTATATGTGGAGAAATCAAGAGCACCTTTGAACTCCTGCACCATCTGTCTGGTATTGCTCCTGCAGACAATGATTTATGGCTTCCAGTGGATTTCCAGCTACAAAAGACCATGCCATCATGCTTGCATGGTCACACAGCTACCTACGACCCTGACACCAAACGTATCTATATCCTTGGGGGCATAAGGGTGGACAAAGACTACAGCAGCATTTACATTCTGGACACAGTCACCTGGAAATGGCTCCTCGTGGCTGTGAGTACTGCACCTCTTCCAAGACAAAAGCACAGGAGGGGAGGCAGGTGCTGTCTGAGTGTGGCAATTGATGCACTCATGTCCTTATTCCAGTTATCTTGGTCCACTGTTGCTGCAGATTGTCTGAGATGCTTAGTTGGGTTTGACAGATATAAGGCAGATATGTTGAAAAGCCACAGGCTTGACAGAAACCAAGAGCTGTGCCTACAATGAATGAAACAAGGTGAAAAAATGGTTGCTGCAGAGGGCTGTATCTGACCAAGCTTATGGGTGGGAGGTACTGTACAAGCAGCAGAGGGAAATGGCCTTTCATTTTATATGGTGCCATTGAGAGCCGCACCACAGATGCTGAGGCAAAGAGCTGGTCTTCTCAAATCAGGGACTGCTCTGAGCACAGCAGAACTCTGAGCTCTTCAGTTGCTTGTCATGTCCTTGCAGAGGGCCCTGTCAGCAAGGGATTATCTTTCTCTTTCCTGGCTAAGGCACAAGATGGCTTGTACAGAGTAAGCCTGGATGAGACCTTTCTGTTTCTTGACATCTGAGGAAGGTGGTGTGGAAGGTTGACTTCCTTCTTAGAGCATTCTGGTGGTGCAGGATATGCAAAGAATGTAGTCTGCCTGCGGCAAAGATCTGGCTGAGGAGCCAATAAAGTGAAAATCAATCCTTGTCAAACTCACTGCATGATGTGGCCCCTTTCCTATGGATCATGCAACAAATAATGAACTTGTAACAAACATATGTCGAACTTTTTCCAGTCTAAAGGGAAGATTCCATTGCTCACCTACCACAGTGCAACGATCTACCGCAAAGAGCTCTTTGTTTTCGGAGGAACTTTCCCCAAAAAGGCATCACTAGACGTTGGACCGTGCAGCAATGTGCTCTATGTCTTCAATCCAGAGCATGAAATTTGGTATCAGCCCGTCTCAGAAGGGGAGAAGCCTCTGCCTAGGCTTGGGTGAGGGTGCTCTAATTTCAGCCCTCCAAAATACAGCAGGAAACCTCTGCTCACCTTCCCTACCAGTGTAATCTCCTTAATATTAGGTGACTGTTCTCTACTGTTTATTTCTTAAGATAGGGCTGTATTTTGAGCAGGGAGACTCTCAGTACCTCCTATAATGAATCTTGATAGGATTCTGTCCTTGGGCTGCAGTGGCTGTGGGTAGAGGCAGGTGTAGACTGAAGCTATCATAGCCCAATAGAAGAAGCCAAGGCTAAAATGGAAGCTTTGCGAACTTGCTGAAGATTTTTATTCACTTGCTTCCTCTCTGCCCAGGCATTCTGCTACTCTACTGAAAAACAAGCTGCTGTTTTTTGGGGGTCGGACGACTTCTCTCTACCTCAGTGACATGCATATTCTGGATCTGGGTAAGAAAGTTTGTGCCAATTGGCTGCCTTGGGAAGGTCTGTTCTAAGATAGGGACTGAGAAATGAGGCATGCTTGATGGGATGGTAACATTAACATTATAAAAATGCCTAACTACGCAATGGAGATGAAAAACTATGGGATAACACTCCCACACACACCTTTCTTACATAATATGGGAGGGAATGGAGAAAAACACAAGTGCTGTTTTGGAAGAAGCTGGGTAATAGAGAAGGCAGGTTGATGATGTGACAGAGTATGGAAGTTTTTGTCAAGTTATAAGGCTGAGCTTTTTGCACATTTCACCTGTCTTTTCCCTGGCTATCAGGTTTCATGGAGTACACACCAGTCCCCTTCCTCGCAGGACAGCCTTCTGCACGTTGGTAAGATCCTACTGCAGACCCAGGAGCTACCTTCTTCCTCTGTCCTTTCTCTTTGTGAAGCCAAGTTTAAACAGTGCTTGTGATCAGACCCAGTTGTGTATCTCTGTCCCACTAGTCAAAATACAGTGGATGTCCCCTCTACTGTGGGACCAGGAATTCCTGTGCTATCCTTGTTGGTGCCTGTATGGTGTGCTGTGTACAGACCTCTTAGTCTCCCTGGAAATCTGCTTTTCAGGCTAGAGGTACTGTGCTTCACAGAGGAAGAAACTCTTGTGCCAGGACTATGCTGCTCCTAAAGGGACACAATTGCCCACTAGAACAACGACCTAAATCAGGGCAAATCCCAACTAGCCTGCTATCTCACCTCATAGAGCAAAACACAGGAGTTTTGGTAACTCCTTCTGAGATAATGAGGTGTTCTTCAGACCTAATCATGGCCTGACCTGCAGAGGCAAACAAACAGCTCTTTAGTGTTACTCGGCAAGTCATGGCAGAAGGGAAGTAGAAGGTAACTTTGTTTCTGCAGCTTAAGCTCCCAGCCTCCTGATCAGTCTGCCCATTCCTGCCCACTGCTGACTGAGGCAACCTCAGCAGGTTTTGCTGTAGTCACCTTTTGGCTTTGCTTTGGTTGCAGTTTTCATGCGGCTCTGGCTGTGTCAGACCAGAAAGTTCTGATCAGTGGAGGCTGCAATGCCAAGGGAGCCCTGCATGATGCTTTTGTCTTCCACCTAGGTGAGTGACTCTCCTGCCCTGTTTCCATAGCTGAAGGTGACTGTGGGGCTGCGGTGGTGTTTCTGAAACCCTAGTCTGGTCCATTTGTTTCATCCCTTGCACTAGGAATGAGCTTGTCAGTATTGATAGCCCTTTTCTACTTCAGATACTCTTTCATGGAGCACGGTGATCCACCACGACCTCTGCTCTGTGCCCCGAGCTGGCCACACATTGCTTGACCTGACTCCTGCCTACCTGATGGATGTGGACAAGGAGAACAAAGAGGAGCATAACCTGCATACAGTGTTGTTGTTTGGGGGCTCCAACTGTGCTGGGACCTTTTACAACAGCACAGTCAAGATCCAGCTGGACCTGGGATAATGCACAATGCTCAGAATGAGCCTGAACAGCAAAGGCTCTTCACCAGCTGAAATACAGACATGGATGGCAATAAATTAGTTCAAGCAATGTGGCAGTCCAAGTATCTGTGTATAGGTGAATGCTAGCTTGGCATAAGAGATCGCGGTGGGTTTGTGAAGTCTTTCTGAAGGCTGTGGGTATTGTTCTCTTAGGGTAGCTGATAGACAGCATCAGACTGGCAGAAATTCCCTCCCACATGCCTGGCTTGGTACCTGGGCTCGGGTGCCAAAACATTCAGTGGGATCTGAGCTAAGCCTGCACAGGTACGCAGACACAAGGTTCTGTTTCCTTTTCCCCTACAGGTTTTTAGGCTGGAATTCCCAGGGTACTTTCAGGTGTGAAGGTGACTCAGGTGCTTGGTTTCATTTGGGATGAGTAGAATGGAATTTATTCCTGCCACTTGTAAAGTTCTCACAGTGAAAGTACAGGCATGATTCTGTTTTGGAGGGAATCTGGGATGGGATTCCCTTAGGCAACAGTCTGCACCTTAAGCCTAGGAAAACACCCACCTGAGGATGGGAAAAGGAAGAGAACATAATTTTCAGTGTATGGTAGAGGGCTGGTTGTGCCTTGCTGACTGGCACAATCACCTAACTTAGTTCAGGACAGATCATTATTATAAATTCTGTGCAGCCGCTGCTACATAAGGAAGAGGTAAAAGTCCTCTGTCCCAAGTAGTGACTCCCTTGTTATTGCAAGGGGTGGCAGAGTTGAAGACTGTTGGCTCTTTCAAGACCCACGGATTCCAACAAGGGTTAGGATTAAGCTGTTTTACATCAGAGACTAGCACTTACTGTTTATATCCATGTCACTGATGACTATGCCATAGCACTGAGGCAGCTCCAAGGACAAGCACACTGGTTCCCTGATGCTCTTTGTGTAGGTGGTAGAAAGAAGGAGCCCCTGTGAGGAGTCCAGAACTGGCTCAACAGCTCAGAGTTGTTTGTGGCCATATTCCCCAACCCAAAGCCATACAGAAGGAACAGCCTCTCAGCCTGTATCCCGTTTTGTGCCACAGCTTCACACATGTGCCCCTGCAGCCCTTGGACATCCATGGCGGGGTTTGGGCGTGCTTTAACCCCAGCCAGAAACAAAGCACCCCACAGCAGCTTGCTGAGGAAGAGAGCCTGAGAAGTTAGAAAACTCACAGATCAAGATAAAAGGCAATTTAATAGGGAAATCAAAAGCCACATGCAAGCAAAGGTGGCAACTGCAACATCACAACTGCTTTTGTTGCACTGATGCCACACCCGTGTTGCCTCCTTCCACCACACCACCTTCGATGCCAGCTGACTTGGCTGGTCCTCTGTGCTGGTTTGAGCTGGAGTAGAGTTAACTTTCTTCACAGTGGCTAGTATGAGGCTATGTTTGGGTGCTGTGCTGAACACAGAGTTGATAATGCAGAGATGTTTTTGTTATTGCTGAGCAGAGTTTACACAGAGTCAAGGCCTTTACTGGGTTCCGTACTGCCATGCTGACAAGGAAG